TGTAATACCCCGGGGTTTTAATCACTGAGCCTGGTAGCATAGCGTCGTTCAACCTTGAGACAGAGGAGTGGGGTGTTCTACCTGGTCCAGAACAGGTGCAGATGTTTGTGCAAGGAGAACGATGATTACAGTTACGCAGAACTTGACCTCCAGTTATCATTGGCTGAGTTGAACGGCTGCTTAGTTCTGTTTCATAATATTCTTCACAAATCTATGGACTTGTGGTTTTTGTCAGATTCTGAGAAAAGTATCTGGGTTAAGAAATACAACATGCCTTCACATGTTTCTAGGCTTTATAGGTATCCTTTTCTGATGTTAGATGATGGGACGATTTTCTTCAGTGGGGTGGATGGTCTACAAGGTTTACTTAGTGATGGAGAGCAAGGAGAGGGATTTCTGCTAAGTTATGATCCAAGAAACGACACTTATGGTTATGCACTAAAACTGAGAGGTTCCCAATCCATTGGCATTTACACAGGAAGCCTGCTGAGTTTATAGAGTAGCTGTCAGTGATGAGTTGAATAATGCTGGATGTTTACCTTATGTTGTGCATGGGAACAATTAGTGAGGCATTGTACTGATGCATGGCAATAAAAAAGTACTTTTGTGCCTTGAAAGTTTATTATGTTTATCTCCGGTACATTTTGCATGAGAAGATTTGCAGTTTTTTGTTTGTCCCATTTTGTATGGCAATTTCAGGAGTTTGGTCAATGACCAGTTTGTAACGAACAAGCTTTTCAATGTGGTGTTTCAAAATATAATACTCTGCTCTTTACCCTTTGACGCCAAACCAATCATGCTCTTTACCCTGGTGTCATTGGTGTCACTGAGTCACATATTCTGCTTCACTGTTATCCTTCAATCTCTTGGCGACTTTCTTTTGTCACCATTCTTTTACTGATTTTTGTGCTTGTAGTTCATCTTCTGCTTCAGTTTTGAAGGGACACAAAATTAACGAACTCATGATGAATCTATTTGCTGATCTGTGGGTAACACATTCGAGTGAATATTTGAAAAGAAGTCCCGTAATTGCTGGTTGTGGTAATTTACAAGCTCTCTTCTCTGCTGCTTCCATGTAAAATGGAAATGATGGCAAGGAGCTTTTCTGCGATGCAGAGAGAACTCAGAACCCCAACTCTGAAGATCAAGGCTTACTGTACAAAGAGTGTACTTACCGCACGGGGTATTTTGGTCTTTTGTGTCTGGTACTAGTTGGAAAATTGGGTGTTATGGATTTTGGTATTGTGACTAGGATTCTCTTCCATTTTTAGATCTGTGCTCACGTGGATGCCTTTTAGAACACGTTCTCTGTTTTATTTTATTTTGGATGAAGTTCAGAACATATACAGAAACTCTGAAATTTTCTAAGAACCAGGGTTTCTTTTGGTATACTAGTAGACATGCACGTGTAAGGCACTTCTCACATAAAATTTGTCTTTAACATCCAATAGAATTAATGCCTTCTATAACTCTTTTCGTCAACGAACAAGGTGGTTGATTCTAATCTAGCTTTTGGTACCTTAAATTACCAATCAATTTCTGAAAAACTCGCTCTATCTTGTATCTTCAAATTTATAATCTATCTGGGCGAGAATGGTTGGCCTCCTGGTGAATGGAAGCTGGAAATCCTTGCATCTTATTAGATGCCATGTAGGTTGTAGTCAATTGATGCCAATCAGATGTATAGTGCTTGGTACAAGGTCAAAGGGTATCTATGAAAGGTGAATGACGATTAGCATATAGGACAATCGACGGCTTACCCGCAGTTCATTAGTTACTTCAACTTCCCAATCATGACTTCCATTCCACAGTCAAGCAACAGTTGTTGACTTGGTATGTGTAGGCTTGAGGCTGATCCAAATTGCACGCACTTGATCTTGTGACTACAACATCAATGCTTACCTCGAAAGTCATCTAATGTCTTCACATTCATTACGTTCCATCCTGCTCGTTGGTCTGGATGTATAGAAGTTAAAATAGTAGTCCCTCTGATCCGAATTAATTAACATGACCTCTATACAATGTAAAATGGATATTGTACAGAGGTTGCGTCAATAATTAGGATTAGAGGGAGTAATAGGTTGACCCTGGAATCTTAACATGTCGATCCAAAACCCATGAAAAGCTCCTTGCAATGAACTGATATTTTTGTGACATCTTCTCAAGGAGAAGATAGCAAGGTTGGCAAAATTAAAAAATATTAAGAAACAATGAACCAATATAGATTTCCGGCAGGTTATAAAATAAAAAGGATGTAAACAACAACAAATATCTATTAAAATATCCATCATTTATTTTAAAACTGTTCCTCGTGTATTTAGAACTGTTCCTCGTGTATTTGAGAAAAGTTCATTGAATATTTAAAAAACCTCATCCATTATTAAAAACTTTTCCTTGTGTTTTTGTAAATATTTATCATGCATGTTTGTTAAAAAATATGAAAAATTCCAAATAATGAAGTATTTCGTAAATTACATGAACATTTTCAAAGTATGTGGACACTTATTAAAAATTAAAATAATTATTCTTGAATACTGTTTAAAATGCCTACCCAATATAATTTATATAGTGAATTTATAAAATAGAGAGAAAAAAGTGAAAACTCAAAATTCATAAGTATAGAGAAAAAAATGACAACAAATGTTCATGAAAAAAATGAACCAGGGTCAGCGGCGTCGCGATTTCGGATTTGTCGGGCAACGTCGTGAAGAGGATTCCAAGCGCCGGGTACACGTTTGTTATGAAAATCACGGGCGATGCCATTGGCCGGTTCACAAGCAAGGACGATAGCCTCATTGTTTTGAGCGCGCGGCTAGACCTCGTCTATTTCAGCTGGGAAGATTACTCTGAGGCCTTGTGGGTGCTGAACCCGGCCACCGGAGCCACTATCGACCTGCCAACGGGCTGCTCCGAGTCGTGCGCTATTGGGCAAGTCTCCTCTACCAGAGAGTACAAGGTCCTCCGCGTCTCTAGAACCGGTGACTACTGGCAGCGGCAGGTATGTGAGGTTATCACCTTTGATGACACCAACCATGGAAGCTGGAGGAGAAAGCAGGCCCCTCCATGCTATATCTCATCCAGATGCAGGACGGGATCTGTGGTCGTCGATGGGGTGGTGTACTTCTTGATGGATTTTCACTACACATACTTCAGAACTCGCATGAAAACCACTGGACCTGGTAGCATAGCTGCGTTCAACCTCGAGACAGAGGATTGGATGGGTGTTCGACAGGGGCCAGAGCCGGTGCACAGGTTTGTGCAAGAGAACCAGGTTTACGGCGGTTACCCAAAACTCAAACTCCAGTTATCATTGGCTGAGTTGGACGGCTGCTTAGTTATGGTTCATAATAGAGAAAAGTATACTTTTCGTCCCTCAACTCTTGGTGAAGTCTAGATTTGGTCCATCAACTTCAAAACCGGACAACTTGCACCCCCAACTACCGAAACCGGACAAGGTTCGTCCCTGGACTCGGCTTTGACCGGCTTTTGGTGTTGACTCACCCCGGTTTTGACCGGTGCTCATTCATATTCTTGTAAATTTTTTATATCCGTGAACTCCAAAACCGTGACCAAGGATACTTTTCATCCCTCAATTCTTAAACCCTAACCCTAAACCCTCCACAAGTCCATAGAAATTCGGGGTGCAAGTTGTCCGTTTTTGAAGTTGAGGGACCAAATCTAGACCCATGTAGGTTGTAGTCAATTGATACCAATCAAATGAATAATGCTTGGGACAAGGTCAAAGGGTATCTATAAAAGGTGAATGGCGATGAAGCCTCATTAGTTACTTCAACTTCCCAATGGCGATGAAGCCTCATTAGTTACATATTTTCAAGGAAAATATAGCAAGATTAGACAAAAAATACCAAAAAAACAAAACAAAGAAACTGTGAACCAATATAGATTCCATCCAGGTAAAAATAAAAAAGATTGAAACAACAGTAATGATGCATCAGCTTTGCTTGCTTCATAATGGCTATTACAAAAGGGCAATTTACAATCTAGGTTTTTTTTTTCTTTTAATAATGCGGCTGTGTGCATGAAAAAAGCTCATTATTGACGTTGTATCGGCGCAAAGGTCGAGAGCAATTGGTATATTTTTTCTATATTAATATATGCCCTTTTTCCAAAAAAAACGAAGCTTGGCAGTAGGAAAATCTTGTTCCCTGGTCGCTGCGGGGAATACTATGTTACTCATACAAAACTTCCACGCGGGAGATAGTGAGCCAGCCCATGTATACATTGGTTTTATTCTGATTTTGTTTTTCCTTTCCTTGTCCTGTATTTTTATTTGCTGGTTTAAATTTAGAACATTTCTTCAAATCAACGTGTTTTTAAATGTTGTGATCATTTTCTAAAATTTATGAATATTTTTAAATTAACCATATCTTTTATATTCTGGAATATTTGTAAAATTCATGAACATTTTTCAGTATCATGAACTTTTTTCAAATTGAAGAAAACATTTCAAATCCATGTACATTATTTTAGTTTATTAACTTTTTTTTCAAATTCATGAAGGTTTTATGAATTAGTGAACATTTTTAAAATTCATAAATTTTTTCTAACAAATCAGGTTGTTTGAATTTCACGATTTTTTCAAATCTGGAAAATAAACGGTTACCTTTTTTTTTTGAGACAAAATAAAACGGTTACCTGAGCGAGGGGAATTACGGACGCGGCGAGGCAATTGGGCCGCACCCCACGCAGCACAGGCCGAGCACCCGCTAAGAATTCTTTGTGTCAATGAGAAAGCGAGAGGCCCATTTTGTCCAGCCCAACTGATTGGTACTTCGGGAGAGTCCCAATCCGCAAACCCTTGACCACTGACTGACCGCCGGCCGCTTTCTCCTCTACGGCGACGCCCGGCCGCCCAGCTGCTCACCGCCGGCGCTCTCGGTAAGGCCAACTCCTCCTCGGCACAGCCCCATCTGATTCTGTCGTCGATTTGGCGCCGTCGACTGCTAACCGACGGCATCTACTTCCCACAGCCGACGGCGATGTCGTCTTCGGAGCCGCGGCCGCGCCCCGCCGCCTCCTTCTCCGGCGACCTGCCCGAGGACGCGCTGTACGAGGTCCTCCTCCGCATCCCGGCCAAGGAGCTCTGCCGCCTCCGCGCCGTCTGCCCGGCCTGGCACGCCCTCACCTCCGATCCGCCCTTCGTCGCGGCTCACAAGTCCACCCACCGCACGGCGCCCCCGCTCCTCGCCATTGCCTACCGCGACGACAGTGAGGTCAACGGCGTTGCGATTTCGGATCTGTCGGGCAACGTCGTGAGGCGGATTCCAGTCACCGGGTATGAGATTGTTATGGTGAACGAGTCGGGCGATGCCGTTCACCGGAGCTCAAGCAAGGAGGAGCATGATAGCATCTGTGTTGTGCGCAGCCGGCTAGACCTCGTGTGCTTCCACTGGAATGTGTACTCTAGGACCTTCTGCGTGCTGAACCCGGTCACTGGAGCTACTCTCGACTTACCGATGGGCCACTCAAAGGAATTGGAGCATGAGCTGGAGGTACAGGGAAGAAAATGGGGCTGCCATGTCGAGTGGTGCGCTTTTGGGAAGGTCTCCTCTACCAGAGAGTACAAGGCGCTCCGCATCTGTAGCATTCGTGACCGGCAGGTATGTGAGGTTATCACCTTTGATGACACCAACCATGGAAGCTGGAGGAGGAAGCAGGACCCTCCGCCCCGTATCTGTACCGGTCGTCAGATGAGATGCGTGGTCGTCGATGGGGTGGTGTACTTCTTGATGGATTTTCACTACACATACTTTGAAACCGGGGTTATAACCATTGAGCCTGGTAGCATAGCTTCATTCAACCTCGAGGCGGAGGAGTGGGGTGTTCTACCTGGTCCAGGACAGGTCAAGAGGTTTGTGCAAGAGAACAAGAAATACAGTTACTCACAGCTTGAGCTCCAGTTATCATTGGCTGAGTTGAACGGCTGCTTAGTTCTGGTTCATAATATTCATAAGGTATCTATGGACTTGTGGTTTTTGACAGATTTTGAGAAAGGTATCTGGGTCAAGAAATACAGCCTGCCTTCGCATGTTGCTAGGCTTTTTTGGTATCCTTTTCTCATGTTAGATGATGGGAGAATTTTCTTCAGTGGGATGGATTGTCTGGAAGGTATATTAAGTGGTGGAGAGCAAGGAGAGGGATTCCTGCAAAGTTATGATCCAAGAAATGACACTTATGCTGATGCACTAGAACTGAGAGATCCCAGATCAATTTGCATTTACACAGGAAGCGTGCTGAGTTTATAGCGTAGCTGTCACTGATGAGGTCAGGAATGATACATCGTACTGGCTGTTCACCTTATGTTCTAAATGTGAACAATTAGTGAGATAATGTTCTGATGCATGCATCTTTGAAAAAGTACCTTTGTGCCTTCAAAGTATTATGTTAATCTCCAATACATTTTGCGTGAGAAGGTTTGCAATTTTTTCATTTTTTGTTCGTTCCATTTAGTATGGCAATTTCAGGAGTTTGGTCAATGAGTTACTAGATACCTATGGCCAGTTCGTAATAAACAAGCTTTTGAATGCGGTGTTTCAAACTATAATATGCTGCTCCCAGTGCAACATGTGGGTTCGGTACAGGATGCATAATTTGTTGCTTTCTTGGAACAGATAATCATTTGCTAGCACATTTATGTTCTCCTGGAATGTTCAATGCTACCTGGTGTACATTGGTGTCACTGAGTTACATTTTTTGTTTCTCTGTTTTTCTTCCGCCTTGTGGCTGCTTTCAGTTGTCACCATTTCTTTTTACTGTATTTTGTGCTTGTAGCCCGCTCAAGTTTTGAACGGACAAAAATCTTGCGAACTCGTGATGAATCTTTTCATTACTCTTAGCTTGGGAACCCAGGACACTGCTTCTGTGGGCGGCTCATACCGAGTGAATAAAAAAGTGGTTCAGGCAGTCTCTGGCTATGGTGATTTACAGGCTCTCTTCTTCATTGCTTCCATGTAAAATGCAGAGGATGCTAGGGAGCTCCTCTGCGGCAAACAGATAAGCTAAGCTATTTTGGAGTCATGCATGATGATGGCTTAGCTATTTTGGAGCCATCATCATGCATGACTCCAAAACAGATAAGCCCCAGCCCCAAACAGATAAGCTAAGCTATTCTGGGCGCTTTGCTCCTGCTCAGCATCAGCTGGTGGATCATCATCATCGCGCAATTCGTCTACATCGTCACGTGGACTGGATTCTCCCTGCAGGCATTATCGGGTCTGCCTGAATTTTTAAAGCTGTCCCTTGCCTCTGCTGTCATGCTCTGCCTCGAGACATGGTACTTCCAGATGCTCGTGCTCATTGCCGGCCTCCTCAAGGACCCCGAACTGGCTCTCGCATCGCTCGCTGTTTGGTAACTGATTTTAGTGAAACTTGGCTTACTTGCCTCTTTTGTTCAGATGATGATAACTACTGCTTGAATTCTGTTGTGTTTGTGTGTGTTTGTAGCATGACCATTTCAGAATGGGTGCTTATGATTCCACTTGGATTCTACACCACAACCAGGTAAAGTTGCCACTTCTGAAGTTTTAATTTGCATCAATTTGCAGCAGGTGAAATAAACTAGATTCGTACATGTTTAACGAGCAATGCAGTGTGAGGGTGAGCAATGAGCTTGGTGCGGGCAACCCCAAATCAGCGGCGTTATCAGTCGTGGTGGTCACGATGTTGTCGTTTGTCCTATCAGTTATAATCTCGGTAGTCATCCAGCTCTTCAATGACTACATCAGCTACATTTACACCGGCGGCGAACATGTGGCAGTGGCCGTGTCCAAGCTGACCCCACTCCTGGCACTCACCATAATCCTCAATGGCATCCAACCGGTGCTATCAGGTATACTAGAACAGTAAGAGAAATGGTCTAATGTTTGTGGCTGTTTGGGGGTTGTATTTTTTGCATGCTCACCGGTAATTTACTAGGAGTAGTATTTAGTCCTCACTACTATTCCAAATAGGCCCTTAGACACAGAACATAAGCCTTTTGTCAGCCTTCAGCTTTGAGCTAAGGAGCGTTCAGGTTTAGACAAAAGCAACCAAAGAATTTGATTCATTTATTGTGGACGAAAACAGTGATGTAGATGTTATAAGCAGGGGAAGCCATGGGCTATGGTTGGCAACCGTTTGTCGCCTACGTCAACATCGGCTGCTACTATGCTGTGGGCATCCCCCCCTTGGCTTCCTCCTCCTCGGCTTCTACTTCGTCCTCGGTGCAGTGGTAAGGCATAGGTGCATGGTTCCGGATAACTTTAGTTTGATCAACCATGCATTTTTTTTACATATAACAAAGTGGATGACACAAAATGTAAGGCATATGGAGTGGTATGATTGGAGGTACATTGATGCCGACTATGATCCTAGTCTGGGTTACCTTGAGGACAGACTAGAACAAAGAGGTAAACATGGGATTCCTCTTGATCGTAATAGACACCATGACCTACAAGACCGCAATGAGTTTCTGTAAGCTCTAGCTAGACAGAGTGGCTTGAAGACCATGATATTCTAGGGATACAAATCTGAACCAACATTAAGACAAAATTAATTGTGAAGTTACACATTGCAAAGTTAAACACCCCAAAAAACCAATACACCATACTCACATTATGTTCTTTGTCAAGGGCATGTCATTATCCTCTAGCACTATTGATAGTTACCTAGTTCCCTTCTCATATGATTGCAGGTGTCCAAAGCGATGAAAAGATTGCAGAGGTGGGAAGACAAGACACCTCTATCGTCAGGGCAGGAATGACAAACATCCTATGGTTGACTCGTCTATATGATCAACATAGACGGGGTTCGTTAGCAAGTCAATCTCCCTGAAATGTGTAAAATGCGTTGTCAGAGGGATGTCCGTGAGACAGACAAAACCAGAAGATAAATTGCTTCCATGCACCCTATCGGAGGGAGGACCCATTGTCTTTGTCATCAAGATTACCTCCAAGCTCCTTCTCGGTGGGGTGCAGTAGTTCACCCCCATGGCTACGGGTTTACAGTAGTAGTATCTACTAGATCGGGTTCGCGCCTTGGCGCGACGGTGCCGGTCAAAACGTTTAGACAAAGTATGAAACAACTTGTCGGTAAGAGCACAGGAATAGCATGTGTAGACAACCAATTGTGTTAGAAGCAAAACATAATGGGACTGAAGATGAACATCAGGTTATAAGATAAAATCAAGGTCGGTGCTTTCATTCGACCAGAGACAAAACACAGGACCAATATATTACTTTTTACGACAGAAAGATAGGAATTAAAATCTGAAGTCTATACATGCCTTGTTCAGAACAAAGTGAAAATAGCAACATACCACCAGGTGGTACCTTCCACTCCAAAGACAACAACGAGAATCTAAAGGCAGATATCGAGGTTGGAACAAGCAAACCATCTTAAATGTAACCGCCACAGGAGACTTGCTGCCTGGACATGTCTTGTGATAGTAAATTGCAGGGGCAGCTTTAGAGCTTGCAACATGAAGGCAAAAAATGTGGGAATATGGAATCACCATTAGATAGTCATCATCCTGTAGAGGAAAGGATAAAATAATTTTTTTACAAAAGGATATGCAGGCAAGAGTACTGCTGCTGTAAAATTACTGAAACTACTCTATAGAATTAATAGAATTAACATGATCTCCTGGAGTAGTTCAAGCAATACTGGAGTGGTTCAAGATACTAATCTTGGTGCAGCACTAAGCATGAAATACAATACTCCACAAAATTAACACAATCAAGAAAGCATCAGCAAGTTAACAATCTAACAAGACAAGTTTCAGTACAGCACCAAGTCAAAATCCACTGCAATCTCAAAACAGTGAAGTTCCATTTTAAGCTACTGCAGTCTTTCTCTTAAATTTAGTCATGCATCTGTGGAACTTGGCAGCATTCATTTAAGAATGGAGTAAATTAACTTGGCAGTATACAAACTTTAAGTAAGTTGACTTAGCATTCTACTGAAATTCCACTGCAATCTTTAAACTACTATAACCTGTCGGAAATATACTGGAAACCCTCACAAAAAGTTCATCTTTTGTACTGAGTACCTTGAAGATGGCGTCGTAGCCGGCGAGGACCTCCTCGATCTACGTTCACTTCCTCTCCGGCTTATTCTTGTCATCCTCACTGGCTTCCTCGAGCTTGGTCTTGGCCTTGCCGGCGGCACCGGGCTTGGACTTGGGCTCCCACTTCCACTTGCGATCGAAGCGGTCGTCGTTGGGGGAGGCAAGCTCCGCCTCCCACTTGAGAGCCCGGCCCCACCGTGCGGGTTCTCCTCGGCTGTCCACTTCACCTTGTAGCCCCCCGGGGAGGCGGCGGCGTAGCTGTACTTGCGGCGAGCCGACTGGGCGCCTTAGTGCGAGGGTGCCGGTCCAAATGTTGTAATTAAGCAGATAATGGTCAAGTTAGTAGGAAGGTTTGAGAAACTGTTTACATCTAAAAAATCAAAGTAACCAGCCATGATAGATGAGTTTACTATAGGCCACAAATAGCAAAATAAACCAATGCAAGGTAAGCAATAGTCAATCCACAGGATAATTGATTTGCATGGTCACGACAAAAGCAGTAAGAGAATTGGCAGTGAACTGGACACTAAAACTAAACATTTTTCTGATATTCTAAAAACTTTCATACACATAAACGATTCATTTCACAAGGCACTGAAATATACCAGGCAAGGAAATGTGAATACTGATCGAAGATGTATTAGTTATAACCTTTCATAGCAAACATTGGAGCAGAAAGTTCCTACTTGAGCTAGATGATATCAGATATAACCTTTCATCTCAATGTGAATACCGATCAAAGATGTATTAGTTAGTTATGTCACATGCAGAATGAGATACAAAAAGAGCATGTAGTATGCAAAAAAGGGAATGCAGCAACAACGGAAAGAAACGCTAAAAGGGAACATAAAGAGCAGAAAACCAACCCAAAATGCAAGCAAGAACCTTTAAAAGGGAACATAGGGCAGCATGTGCATGAGGCATAGAAAAATGGGGTCACCTTAAGATCAAGAATCAGTGGCCCTCTCTCAGTTCAAATCAGAAGGAAAGAACCACTATTATTGATTAGAGTTATTTTTAATTAGGCAAAGCATTACATCACTGGATCCTAAGCTACAGTTGAGGCATACAAAACTACAAGTGTCTACAATTTTCATATATAAACAATCTTTAGTATCTCAACCAGAACCAAAGCAAAAAAAATCATGGTTAAGTAACCAGCAAATGAAGAATGAACCTTTTTGGAATTTTAAAGTAGCAAGACATGAAAAGTTCTCTTTTGCCTCCAATACTACACACATTAGGGGAGGTAGCTACAGTTTTATTGCATAGTGGGCTCAGATTCGCCTTTCCTCGATCATATAACCTACCCCCGTCATCTCTTATCACCAGATCAATCTGTTTATACAGTAGAGCTGCCCTGGTTATCACTCAACAAGAATAACCATCCAAGGACAACAAGTATCACATGACCAAAAAGGATTCTAGAGACAAGAGGGAGGATCCAACTTGATACCCACAGGTGCCTCGGTTGCTCAAAGGCACACTAATTCCAGCCAAGGTAATCATCATCGCCCTAGCACGAACACCACTTGAGCATAAATAAGCAACACCTTTAAATACAAATAAAAATGGTTCAGGGTTCATTGCATAGCCGCGACGGACGCCATCACCGGCGCCGCTGATATGCCTCCCTCCTCCGTGGCCGTTGCCGCCGCCGTCGTGGTTGGTGGAGCCACCTGCGTGGGAGGGAGGGAGGCAGCTGCAGGAGCGAGTGAGAGAGGAGGCAGCGGCTAGGTCTCCCACGGCAGCGGCCCCCCTTATACCCCCCCTGAGCGAAATGATCAAAATGCCCTGGTGGGGGTATGGTATTTACATTCTGATGCAATTGGAATTTTATCTGACGGCTGATGTTGATCAGGTAAATATCTAACGACCCACTGCAATTTGGATCGAGATCCGACGGTCTGTGTCGCGAGGAGATTCCGATCAGACGGCCAGAATGCCCAAATCGCTGAGGAGCCTCAGGTTTCAACTCGTCTCGTGTTTCTGAATTCAGGGTTCATTGCATAGCGGGCTCAGATTCACCTTTCCTCAATCATATAACCTACCCCCATCATCTCTTATCACCAGATCAATCAGTTCATACAATGGAGCTGCCCTGGTTATCACTCAACAAGAATGACCATCCAAGGACAACAACAAGTATCATAGGATCAAGAAGGATTCTAGAGACAAGAGGGAGGATCCAACCCGATACACACAGGTGCCACGATTGCTCAAAGGCACACTTATTTCAGCCACGATTAATCATCATCGCCCTAGCACGAACGCCACTGATCAATCTAGCAAATCCAGGCGCATAGCTATAGGACCAGGGCATCCACATGTAAACCAGAGCATCACATGAGCTCCTATGATAGCAACTAAACATGAACAACAGCCTGCAAACCCTAAAATGGCATGGATCCACAACTACAGAGCTCAAGTAGGAAGCGATGCATGAGTAGGGCATATAGCATCAACCAGACGAGCACCACATCAATATAGCCATGGCCATGTCCCATACAGTAGCCAAAGCAGAGGAGTGGGAGGAAGATGGACCTCACCGAGGGAGGTTGTAGCCGAGGCAGTACTCATTGCGCGCCGGGGTGAATGAAATGCTGAAGATGTGGCGTGGAGAAGAACAGTGTAGGCGCTTGTTGTATATTCGGTTCAGGTGCGGATCAATGATTATTGTTAGGCGTTGGTTGTTGGATGTTGGCCGCTCGTACAAGGCAGAACAGAATATTACAGAGGTGATGGGCCAAGCTTCCTCGAATCATTGCAGCAATACAGAGGTGGATGCAAGATCCTAACT